AAGGTTTGTGTAGAGGAGGTACAGTTCTGTGTCCGTGACGCAGTCTGATGGTTCAGGTCTTTTGCAAGATGTTGGGGCTTGGAGCAAGGAAATACAGCGCTGATTTGAGCTAGACAAGTACACGAGATACTGCCTGGGCTGGGAAAGAATAGACATTTTGTTAGTGGGTAATGAAAATGCTATGTTGAGTAAAGGCATTTACTCTGTTCTGCTTATGAGAGCTAGCTTAAAGTTAAAACTTACCGATACATTTTTAAAGTAATTTCTTATGGACACAATTCAATGCTTTGCTTTTGACTGTCTCCTTTGATTAGAGCCTCATGTCTAACCGCTAGAGTCTTCCTCTAACCATTAGAGGAATGAGAAAAAATGTTCCTTAATGCTATAGTTTGCTGATTAAATAAGTTTAAATAGTAATGATTTCCTTCATATGCTGTATTCATAGAAGGGATGCCCTGGTAACAGGAAAGAACCACCCTAATCGGGAGTTTGTAGGAAGTTTTTCATACAAGAAAACCAACTGTCGCTGCAATATGTCAGATGTTGGGATCCTGTCATTGCGCTGCAAAGACAGTCTGAGGCTTCCAAAGAAGTTCAGAGCTCAAATCTCCTTCCTGTGTCAGTGAGAATTATGTGGTAGTCTTCCATTTCAACTTTGGAAATGACAGCCCTTGCTTTTTTAGAGTGTGTAATACACTTACAGAAACTTCTTTCCAACCTGGATATTGATGCTTGCTTATAACTCATCCTCTTTCTGTTTTTTTCAGTTTACTTTACACTACTTTTCCCATTTTTTGAATTTATTGGGAACAAGTCCAAACATTGCTATCAGATGCTTTCAGTCTTTTGCCACACAAAATAAATTTGATTTTAAAACTTTAGTTGCTGCCTGCACAGAAAGTAGATTAGTTCTTGGGGGATTTTAAAAATTAAAGAATGTGGAAATGGCCAAGATATTGTGATTTTTGAAAAGTGCCTACATTTTAAATGAGTTCTTAGTCTCTCTGAAGGTTTCTCGGTAAGCTTGTTTGTATACTCCCAAATTAGCTTGCAAACAGGATAGTATATTGCATTTAAAAATAAAACATAAAAATCACTACCTATATCAGCTATTGTATTTCCTGTTCTGATGTGAGAACAATTGTTTTGTTAATGTTGTTTGACATATCATTAAAGATTCACCTGCTATTTCTGCTTATCAGTGGGTTATCGAGGGTATTACAGGACACGGCACAATGCAGGGGAAACGGGTTCAGGTGCTGAAGCAGAGCCCGCTTGGCTGTGGTGCATGGTCAGAGTGCTCGGTATTGCAGAGCTGACAGACAGACAGACAGACAGAGATCTGTTTAAGCTCCTTTTATTTTTATGAGTTGCAGTCCAGCTTTTGAGGAGTCTTGGACCATGGATCCTTTCATACGTTATTTAGAGTTTTCTCCCTAACAGCTTGTGTATGGGTGCAGACAATGGGTCAATTCTCCGTTACATTAAAGCCTTTGGCTTTATTGCAGCAATATAAAGGAAACACAGAGGTGGCAGAAGTTCTGCCATAAGGCTTTTCCATATACAGGGATATAGGACACAGGTTTTTCTATTTTAGTTCTAAACAAAAACACAACAGAATCAAGACTTGGTTCTTTGGTGGGTTTTTTTTAAATATCACAGTTGAATAGCATCGGGCACTTACTAAGAGAAGAGGCAGATTTGAAAAGTGCTTTTAACATAGTGTGTAACATATTAATTACTTATACTTCCGTATTTCTTAGTCTGTGTAATACCAACAAATTATGACTGCTTTCAGTGGAGATGAAATACAAAGGCTTCCATCTGCTCAAAGCTGTAGCTAGGTGGCTACCAATTGCTTCCCAGTGTTGAGGATCTCTAATGATTGCAATGGACCTAGCTATGAAGCCATTAGATAATTTCTACAATATGTTTCCATCTTCTTTACGCACATTATGAATTTGAAATTCCTGAAGTTCATGCTGGGCTACAGAGAAGGGATGTAAAATTTCAGTAGCCCTTTATCATGACTGATGAAGCCTTTTACAGTTTTTGGAGCAGATGCATCTCTGAAGTAATTAATCAAAATAAATTCATTCAGATGCACACTACTTCCTTTAATGAAACCATTAGCAAAGGGCAGAAGATTGAGGTTTCTAATCACTGGTAATTTGCCAGTAGCCAAATTTTCTCTCTTCTCTCTAGAAAGGTCTTGGGAAATTTCAAAAGGTTTCTTAACCTTTGTAATAATGGCTTTATATCAAAGCCACTTAGAATTCAGATACACCAATAATGACCTATTGGAAAAAGAGAAACAGAAGTGACAGACTATTACTTAACAAGTGGTACATCAGTTCTGCACTATATAGTGCAGAAAGCAAGGATATCAGTCACATTTGCCTGTCAGGCTTTTCCGTTTTAAAGGTATAGATAATTTTCTTCTCTCCACTGAGGAAGGATTGTATTATTTGAGATGGGTGAAGCAGAATAGCGTTATTTAGAATAGAGGATACGTAGGTTATTGTGTAATCATTCCATTTTGAAAAACTAGAGAATACTAAGATACAGGGGTGGAGGGAACACGGCTTACACGGGCGTACTCTTCACTGGGTAACAAACTGGCTGGGTGGCTGGGCCCAAGGAGTTGTGGTGAATGGAGTTAAATCCAGTTGGTGTCTGGTCACAAGTTCCCCAGGGCTCAGGACTGGAGCCAGTTCTATTTAATATTGTGGTGTAGGCTCAGAGCTTAACTGCAGCTGTGCCTGGTGGTGCAGCAAACATGATTTAGAATGATACTACTGGCGGTCTTGCCATCACCCAGGGTAGTGCCAGAGCCGGCCTTTTCCTGGTGATATGCAGGGCTGGGGAATCAGGGGCATGGAATCCTCATGTGGGTCAGAGCTCCTTGTGGTCTTGTCTGCTGGGCTTCCTGCTTACCTTCTACCCCATTTTTCTTAATATTTGACCTCATGTTGAGGCCACTGATTAATCAACACTGCAGGCATGAGCAAAGCTGAGCTGGAGGAAGTTCTAGTGACTCCCAGGCAGTTCGTTGCAAGTTAAACCTGGATGATTAATTTACTCTGCTGCTTGTGGCACAAAAGTTTCACCTCACTGCATAATCAGGTCTTTGTTTTTATCTTCTTGGCAATGGTGCAGGGCTTGTTTCTTTTTTGGTTTGTGTGTACATGATTTTCTGATTTGTCTTGGACTTCATAAATTACCATTAAATGCAAATACGGGTAAATCCTCAAGCCACAGAGTATGTTTTGTATCTGAAACTCATTTCTGTTTATGGGATTTCTCTTCCTCTGAACCGGTCCCTTTAAATTTGATTTCTCTATCAGTAATACATATCAGTTGCTAAGGAATAACTGGATCTGAGTAGAATAATTTCAAAATAGAGCTGAGATAGCCTGAAAAGATGTCCTGTCATTTCCACAAGCTCTGTTGCTGCTCCTTTGCCCTGGAGTCCTTAGTTCACAGTGTTTAACACTCAGAGTCACAAAAAATAAGGCTTTAAGGGATTGAGGCAAAAGATTAATTTCAAAGGACATACAGCACTTGCAGTAACCAAATACACAGCAGAAAATATGTTGAACCTGCTTTTTGTTAAACCTATGTGGGTTGTTCAATGCTTGTTGCTTTGGAAGTCTGCAGACAGAAGAGTAGTTGGGTTTGTTAGTGAGGTTTTTTTCACAAATGTTGAGATCTACTCCTTTGCATCTGTTCCTGGACTTATCAAAATACCAGTGCATGGAAATAAATACTTTTTGAATAAAATTTTCAAGTTTGGATGATAGAAGTTAAGCTCCAAAAGCCATGCATTTCAATACAGCACTCTGTTGCTGAAAAATGCCAGGTACCAGGCAGAATTTGTATGGGGGATGGCTGGGGGTGGTCTCTACCTTAGAAAATCCTGGGAATGGCCTTAGACTTTCCAGTAATGTTATTTATAAACCTGGCTCTGATTTACTGTGTTGGGTAGCTCTGTTTTCATATATGCCACGGGAATTATTTAGGGGTTTTTACTGTTCTAGAACAGTCAACATTCATTTTTTAATTTTTTTTTAAACTTTGATGGGTTTTCTTATGAGAGCTGTAGGAGAACCTGAGAAATAACAAGTTGCAAGACAAAAAGAAAATCTGACCTAGATTTCAAACTCACTAAACTTGAACTGAAAACTGTATCGATGGTATCAGTGCCCCGTTTTGCTGCTGTTGACATCAGTGGCTGAGTCCTCATAAATTTGGTGCTGAGGATTTTGCTGAATATTTTACTCACTGCTTAGAATTGGAAGTTGAAAAGTTGGGAAAAACTTTGAAGTTCTTCCTGCATGGGAATCTGGGGAATATGGTGATGCTGAAACACTTCAGGAGTTAGAAGATTTAGCTTCCTGCAAGGCGCATTGCCACCACGACCCAAGTTCAGATTTCCTCGTTACTTTCCCTGCAGTTAATAGCATCACTAACTCCTTCTGGATTCCTTACATTGCTTCATTGGCCATATCAAAGGAAACGAAATAATCTTGAAACAATTCCAGATGCAAAGTGCACAGAGAGGCCCCGTCTTTGCCATAGGCTTAGATTCAAAGACCAGTATTTTTAGTTTCAAGGCTCTTGTATCCTGTCCCAAACATTGCCAATCAATAAAAAGTCTAAACTCACATTTTGGAAGGTAAATACTGGGAAAAGCTCCACACTTAAAAAGGAGAAGCTACCTGTGATGTGTGCCTGCCTGGACTGGATTTAGCTGCAGTCAGTTTGCTTGCTACTCAAGAGCGTGCAACACAGCTGACTCTTTATTTAGCAGGTAAAATATAATTGTGGCTTTGCTATGTTTTACCAAGTTGCAACTATTTGAAGATGAGGTTAGATCATGAACCACTGCGAACTAATGCATCCTTCTTGAATGTATGTCCAGCTAAAGAGCTGATGCTTGCCTTTTGGAAATCTCTTTAGCTGTCTCTGAACTGCGTTGTGCTTTGTTTTGTTTACAGGACACAGAAATCCTGAACACCGCAATTCTTACAGGAAAAACAGTGGCAGTGCCCATCAAAGTGGTCTCCATTGAGGAGAACAGTGCTGTGACAGACATCTCTGAATCAGTTGAGTGCAAATCCTCTGATGAAGACGTCATTAAAGTAAGTTAATGCCATGTATCAGCTTCTGAAATTTCATGTCTTTTTATACACAAAAGGATAATAGCCTGGAAATAACCGCTGAATCAACTCCTGCAAATTAATTGTACTGCTATTTCAAAAGCGTAAGGAGAGGGATTTTTAAGAAAAGAGAGAGGTAGGTGCAACAGAACAGCCACCACACTGAATTTCAGTAGAATTTCAGTGTTTAATTTTTGTGTCCTAATTTTAAAATGGCTTGGTAATGTCACCTCAAGTCCTCTGTGCACAGAGTTCATTCACTGCAAGAACAGCTCTGCTGTTCGTACTGCCTCTCCAGATGTTTCTTATCACCTTTCCAGCTGTGATTATCACCTCCACAGCTGCATCAGTGGAATGGATTGGATAAGCGTTCCCCAGCAACTGCAATGCAAAGTCATCCTGCTCGACTTCACATTCTGCTGAGAGCTGTTTTGAATTAGCAACTTGATTTTGAACAGAAGTGGCTAGAAAGCATTCACATGACCGGTCCATCAATTTAGCACTAGCAGCTTAATGTCGCACAGTAACAAACACCAGTGGGGTAACATCATCTTAAGGCAACACAGCTATTTCTGCTGTGAGTATGTACTCAAAGCCCTGAAGGAAATTCACAGTTGTGCAGGGAGGCAGTAGAAAGGCAATGCTCTGCATGAATCCCGTTGCACTTTCCACACAGGACATTGATGGTCTTTAAGCAAGGGTGATTTTACCTTGGTCTATAAGCTCTTTTGAACAGGGATTTTATTATATTATGTGATTTTACGGCATATAACGCAGCAAGCTTTGTGATGATATTCTTTAGGTGTGATGATATTATTTAGGTGTCTTTAATATGCTATCAGCCCTCTTAGAGGTATAGTATACAAATAGTGATGCTGCAGCATTTTGTATTACAGTCAGTACAGTTTGTAGGTTCATGGAAAACAATAGAACTCGTGTGAACTTGCAGGATCCAGCAGTTTGATGCACTATTGTAGGATTTATCTAGAAGCATTTATTATACCAATAACCAAGTAGGTGGGAAAGATAGACACACTTTGAACCAATGAAGCCGTTATAGAAGACTTCTACAGAAGCTTTCTGCTTTCAGTGGATCCTTCAGAGCCAAACACATCTCTCCAGTTTGCTGGAGTTTGAAGTGCTCCCATATATCAGATGCTTTAGAGTTTTTAATCTCAAGGGATTCCTGTTAACCTTTTTCCTAAGGTAGCCACCTAACTGCAAATCAAAGTAATAGCTGGAATTTAGTTTAGGGATTGTAACCTTATTGGAAACCACATTCCTGAGTAAGAAAAAATACAAGATAGCATTCACAAATTAAAAAAACAAATTCAGAAAAGGACTACTGTGAGCTTCCAGATTAACCATCTTGCTTAAACAGATCACAAAATTTCACCAAATAATTCCAGCCCCGTGGAGATTTCTTTCCAGCAGTCAAAATGTCCAGTGTTAAGTTCTTCCATTCAGAGGAAGACTCAGGTCAGGGGAAAAAAGTACATCAGGTGGGCATTTGTTATACATCACTGGATGATGCATAGAAAATGACAGCACGATGATTTCCCAAATAAAAATCCCTCTGCAAAAATTACTTCTGGGTTTTATAGCTTTGAAGCATATGGATCAGGAAGAAATAAAATTCCCAAATCTTACAAAAAAAGAGAGTGTTCTTGCAGTAATTGCAGTACAGCCTGGACTATTGCAGTTCTCCAACAGTTTGTTTGGAAGGAATGTTTTCTCGAAACGCTATGTCCTTTGATTAGCACTTGGGACCCTGCTGTGCTCTTCTCTTATTTTCTACAGAAATAATTTATCTCCACTAAAAGGGTTTCTTAAAATGGAGCCTGTTTGCACTATCGGAACGTTTTTAAGTGGCTTCTAGAAGCCTCTCTGTCTAGCCACTCTGAAGTTCAAGTGAAACAAATAACTGGAGGCTAACACACAGTGTTTAATGGGATAAACTGGAGAAATTTTTCAGGTGTAATTTCTTTCTCTTCAGGAATGTTTTGAAATTGCTCACATGAATAGAGAAACTCTTTTCTGTGTATTTAGAAATACCTGTAGAATCTCTGGAGGAATGGATCTGTGACACCAGTGCTAGCTGCTATGAAACATACAGCTAGTTAAAAAATAGAGTTCAGTGAAACGCTTTGAACAAAAAGGTTTTGTTTCATCATGAAGGAAAAAGTGCTTTTTTTTTTTCATCCGGAATGTTCCAGTTTCCAGGAAATTGCTTTACATGGGGAAATGAAATTTGGGGTTCAAGTCAAATTGCCATGTTCTTATCGGTTCTGATTTTAAAAAGCACTAAGAAAGCTTCAAATGGAGCACAAAGGCCTTTAATCCTTAATTCATTTTGAAATTCCCCATCAAGTTTTTATGTAGATTCTTTGGATATATCATCATCCTCTGCAAAATACTGTTTTAGTAACCTTTCCCTTTAAAAAAAAGAAAAAAGTCATGTCATTGCAAATTCTATCTCTTGGGAAGATCATGGTATCTTCAACAAAGAATGTGTGCGTGTGTTTACAGTTCATGTACCTGAGCATCGCTGTTGTAGCCAAACATAACACAACCAAAACATGTTTACAGGTATGAAAGCCTGTAGATTAATTTAAACCACAAACTAAGAAAAAAAAAAAGGTTTTATTGATGACAGCTATTTAATAGTTAGACATATCATCATCTAGAGGTTCACACAGATATTTTTGTTTGATTTCAGTTGCATGGAATTTCTGATAACTTTGGATTCAGGCAAACATCCAGAGTTAGGCTGGAAGTTGAAGATGATTGGTGCCTATTAGCACTTGGCTTGTAATATTTAGTCATCAAATAAATAAGTGTCTATTAGTATTGTTCACGTAAAGAGCTAAAGGTAATGTTTCTCCCAGCAATTTGAATGGCCATCAGGTAAAAGCTTATTTATATTAATTTTTACAGTGCCTTCTGTTTGGCTGCAATTACATTATTCTCAGTAACAGAGCCCAGTGGAAATCTAAATCTAAGATATACCTGCAAGTAACAGGTAATAGTTTCCCCAGTGGTAAGCATGGTCTCAAGGCAGCTCAGTGCACAGTTTGTGTCCTGTCTCAACCTGCTGACAGATCTGCTGACTCCTTTTACTTTTTTTATTGTCTCATGGTTTCAACTCTTTATTTCCAAATTTACAGTTGATTTCATGAACTTTAAAAGTCTTTGAATGCTCTGGACCTTCACACAGTGGTCCAACCTTTTAAAAGTGGACACAAAATTTATGATGGCACTAAAAATCAAGCAACAGCCAAATTTTACTTTGCTAAGCTGGAATTTACCAATAGGATCCATATATCTGGATCCATTAATAGTAATTGCAGTTGCATGTGTAGGCTCCTTTTTGTCTCCTGGAAAATCAAGTGGAACATGGCTGCTTTTGCTGGTGCTTTTGTACAGTTTGCTGAAGAGCAAATACTGCTGCGTGTTCCCGGGTCACCTGGCTGCTAGAACAGATGCAGCTTCCTGCTGTGAAAAGCAGCAGTTTCAGGAGACTTGCAATAGCTTGTGACATTTCCAGATTGAAAACTCTTGATAATGCTTACAAATTTGAGGATATTTTTTCCATTAAAATAACCTGAGTTCAAAAATCTTCAGTGCTATGTGTGTTTCAGAAGCTACTGTAAAAATTTTGGGGTTGTATTTAATCATTCTTGGACTAGCTTTTATCCCACTGCTACATGAGGGAATGCTGTATACATGGCATTATAATCTTATGGTATTGCTGTTATTTATAATTGGTAAAATAAAGCTGGATACTAGTTTCAGTGTATTTGACTCGAACCATACTCTAAAGACCTTATGTACTAGTTTCTTTTTATTTTTTAATGGCATTAATAGCTTTGAGATGTATTCAGATCAAAACATGGATTCAGATTATATTAGTCCACACAGGCAGCTGCTGTGGTCATCACCATCATCAACAGAAACACGGATCTTACCCTTAAGGTGTCCCTCAGTATTTGTTAATAAACACTGGGCTCTTGGTTTCATTGGGACTGATGAGCAGAAGGAGACATTAACTGCAGGTAAAGGCCATTGCAGGAATGTTAGGAATTTCTCTTAGGAGCTAAAATCCAGGACAGTGTCACAGCTGTCCCTCTTATCACAGTAACTTGAAACAAAATCCCAGATCAAAGCAGCACTGAACTGTTGGGGGCTGAAAATCTGGCTAGGGGGGGTTGTGGTTAAACTCTAGCTTAATAGCTGGGAAAGGCTGGAACTACTGCTGGTATCAACAGTGATGGGACTTACAGACACCTGTCAAGGTTACAGATCTCATTTAAAGGCCCAGGCCAGGAATCATTTACACACATGAGTAATTTTACTGTGAATACTGCTGACACCAGGGAACATACTCATATGAAATAGTCGTTTAGGATTCATAAATGTTTCAGAGATTTTGCTGTTTGTGGTGGGAACGGTTTATGAAATGAAATTAATTCATACCAAGTAGATGCAAGCTCATGTTGAAATGTCTGCTGTTCATTTGTGAATCTATTCAGATCAAAGACCAGTCTGGATGCTATGTAACAGGTGATGTAGGAAAGTCTCCGTTTGCCAGTAAGGAAGCTGACAGATGGACATTTTCATAAGAGATAAATAAATAGTTGTGTACTAATTGTAGTAATTTATTTTTTAAATTGTATATCTGGAACCAAATCACAAGACCCTATTTACTAAGGAAAAGTCATCAGCACTTCATTATTTAGATGATACTTTGCTATTGTCTTAAAATACCCAGTCTTATACAAATAGCTGTGCTTCAACCTCTTCAGCTGTTATTTAACTACAAAGAAATGCCATTGTTCTTCCTTACTTTCCAGTACTAGCCAAACTTAAAATGAGTTTTAAAGCCAGATACAGAAACACAGCATTCCCTTTGACAGGCAGAGGAACCACTAGTTAGCAGCATCCATAGGTATTTTTATTAAAAGTTGTTATGCATTTTCCTG